TGCTCAAATCCCTTCCATAGCTCCCCATTGCCTCAGGTCGTACTCCTTAGACACACAAAACCCTGTTTCCATAATCTGATTCTACCTTTCTGGTTTTCTCTCCTGCCACTCCCACGGGTACCCTCTGCTCCAGCCAGACTTCACTTAGCAGTTTCAAACCACAGCCACCCTGGGCCCTCATCACTCCCTGTCACTGCAAGTGTTGTTTCTCCCTCTAGGATGCCCTCCTAGACTTAACTTGGAAAGCCTTTCTTAGCCCTAGGCTGAGCCAGATGCCCCGTGCCATACCCATGTCACGTCTTTCTCTCATACGGATCCTAGTGAGGGCAGGAGAGATCAGTATCTCTTTTCTCTGTACAGTCCCTCCCGCACCAGATTTTCCCAAACAAACTCTGATTTCAAGTCACCTTTCCTGTTGTCAGTCCACTTGTCCCGATCTGAAGTTAGGAAAAATACGGTTTCAAAAATACACAACTGTAGCTTGGCCATGGGATAGAGACTAGGCACGGAGCTCCCTAGCCGGAGCGCTCCACTTGCAGTTCCTGAGGCGGCCTCCAGGGGCCGCCGGCCTCTTTGTTTTCCTTTCTCGCCCGGGGTCGGGGTCGGGGCCGGAGGCCTGCAGAGCGCATGCTCTGGGGCAGTTCGCGGCCGGGCCTGAGAGCGGTGGAGTTCCTTGTATCCGATCTGCGCCCAGGTAGGTCGCGCTGGAGACGGGCCGAGGGTTGGGCGAAGGGCTGCGAGCAGGACTGCCATAGCCCGAACACGGGCTGCTCCGGCGGCGGGCGGGGGCCGTTGCTCGCGCGCGCCCGGGTCGCGCGGTGCTGGCACCACGTGAAGCCGGGCGGCAGGACCGCGCGGGTGCGGGCGCGCACTGCTACCGCCCCGCGTGGCATCCGGGGGCCAGTCGGACCCTTCTCGTCTCAGCAAGGGACGCGCGACCCCTCTGCGCCCGCGGCTCGCACGCCAGCCCCGCGGCGTCCGCGCGGGCGGGAGATTCAAACTTCCCGAGCGCGGCGGCCGGCCAGCCGGACGACGGGGCGGAATGCACGCGGCTGCGGCGCTCCAGCCTCGCTCGCCTGAGTGGCCTCTTCGGCCCGGGGTGCGCAGACACGCGCACCTCCTAGACTGGGGCTGGCCGCCCTGGCGAGGGCTGTTTCCGGGGCGGAAAAAGTGATTTCTTCCTGCATTGGAGAAAGCAGTTTGCAGAGCACGGAAGGAATCCTGCCGGGAGAGGGGTTGCTTTAGAAACTCGAGGGTAGGCAGGTGAGGGGCTACTGCTGGGAACCAAGAGGAAGACTTTTGACCCATTGAAGAGGTGTGCTGTGATCTCCGCATCAGCTCGCTCTGTCAACAGATTACTTACTGGCCGTTTACTGTGTGTCGCTCTTGCAGGGCTGGGGAACAATGGTGAGAAGGGCCCCGTGTGGCCTGTATGTAGCTCCTGGTCTCTCTGGGGAGACCTCATGTGGGTTCCCTGGAGCCCTGGTGGCACAGCGGTTAAGAGCTCAGGTTGCTAACCAAAAGGTCAGTAGTTTGAATCCACCAGCCGCTCCTTGGAAACCCTGTGGGACAGTTCTACTCTGTCCTGTAGGGTCGCTATGAGTCGAAATCGACTCAGCAATGGGTTTAATTTGGGTTTTGGTCACGTGGGTTCCCAGTTTGGGTCCAGTGTAATTACCGAGGTATGCCCTTGGAATTTTGGGCGCTGCTGCCAGTAAGTCATTCATTCATCTGATATTAATTGAGCTCCTCTAACCAAGTGTGACTTCTGCCCTAGTAGAAGATAAGTGTGTGGAGTGTTAAGGGAACACTGAGGGGTACACCCAGCCTTGCATAGTAGGGCCAGGAGTGAGGTGAGGTAACTCTTGAACGGGGTTTTGAAGGAACAGTAAGAGTTAGGGAGGTATGTGTACTGTGGGTGAAGGGGTTAGGGTGATCAGGTAGGGGCACGGCACATGCAGAGACATGGAGGTATAGGTGAGTGTTCTGATCAGGATACCACAGGTGTTTCAGTCTGACTGGAGCACAGCGTGTGAGGAGAGGAGAAACAAGATGATATATAATTGGAGGAGGCAGGGACCAAGCCATGAAAGGTAAAGGAGGCAGGAAGGTTTCCTCCAAAAAGGCCTATGAGTAGAGTCTGGGAAAATAAGTTAGGAGTTCACCAGGCTCCTATTGCAAAGACATCTCAAGAGCAGGAATCCTGTTTTGTTCAGCTTTGTAACTTCCAATTCCCAAGCCTTATGCCTGGTGGTTCAGTGGTTAAAGAGCTTGGCTACTAACTGAAAGGTCCACAGTTCAAACCCACCAGCCACTCCGAGGGAGAAAGATGTGGCAGTCTGCTTCCGTAGAGGTTACAGCTTTCGAAACCCTATGGATCAGTTCTACTCTGTCCTATAGGGTTGGTATGAGTTGGAATCGACTCGATGGCAATAGTTTTGGTTTGGTTTTAGTTGCCTTATCTGTAAAATGAATGTAGGAGGCATGTCGTGAGGATTACTGATATCCTACGATTTCCATAAGGCAGTGGTTCGAAGCATCTGGTGATAAGTGTGGCCTCTTTCCTCAGAAAAATGAACACATATAGGCCCAGGCACAAGTCTGCAAGCAAGGGAACCCCAGGTGAAGAGCTCTTCATGCAAAGTGTACCAGCTCTGTGCCTGGCACATAGCAGGAGCTCAGCAGATGTTGACAGATGAGCCCCTCTCCTCCCTTCCCTCCTCGGGACTTTTCACACAAAGAGATTGTTCAACCTCTGAGTCTGGCAGGCAAGTGTCTGCCTCTTGGCATGGAGGAGCAAGGGGACAGCTGCTATAGTCAGAGAGGACTTTATCCCCCTTTAAAGAAATGAGGTTGTGGTGAGGTGAGGTGACAGGGTCACAGCAGGAACACGATGCCCTCCTGGAAGGCTATCTAGTCTGATCTGCCTCTCCTCTTCTTCATTCAACAAATGAGGAAACTGAGGCCCAGAGAGACGAAATGTGTGTAGAGGGGTGGAGTGGGAGGGTGTTCTGGCTGTGGTTGGGAGTGGTTAGGAAACTTGGGATTTCATTTTACCTCTGTGTCCTGGGGCCATCACTGCCCTTTCTTGAGCCTCAGCTTCCTTATCTATAAAACCTGTGTGTGTGTATGTGTGATCATACCCACCTCAGAGGGCAGATGGAAGCATTCTAGGAGAGACTGCCCATTAGTGGAAGTCGATTCTGTATCAGACTTTTAATTATTTGTGAATACTATGTCTCGCTCTTATCCCAGATTTTAAGCTCCTTGAAGATGGAAGCTGTGTTTATCCAAGGATGGGAGTTGGGAAGGGACAGAAAACTACTCCTTATGCCCAGCCCAGACACTCATTGTCTCCTTAAAAATATACCCAGAGCAATTAAAGAGTCTGTAAAAAGGACTAACTTGTGCAGATAGAGGGCTCAGGAAAGGTGTGCGTCAGGGTTGTATCCTTTCACTATACTTATTCAATCTGTATGCTGAGCAAATAATCTGAGAAGCTGGACTGTCTGAAGAAGAACAAAGCATCAGGGTTGGAGGAAGACTCATTAACAACCTGCGATAAACAGGTAACACAACCTTGCTTGCTGAAAGTGAAGAGGACTTGAAGCCCTTATTGATGAAGATAAAAGACTACAGCCTTCAGTATGGATTACACCTCAACATAAAACCAAAATCCTCACAACTGGACCAATAAGCAATATCATGATAAATGGAGAAAAGATTGAAGTTGTTGAGGATTTCTTTTCACTTGGATCCGCAATCAACACCCACAGAACCACAGTCAAGAAATCAATAGACATATTGCATTGGACAAATCTGCTGCAAAAGACCTCTTTAAAATGTTAAAAAGCAAAGATGTCACTTTGAGGACTAAGGTGTGCCTGACCCAAGTCATGGTATTGTCAGTCACCTCATATGCATGCAAAAGCTGGACAATGAAGGAGGAAGACCAAAGAAGAATTGATGCATTTGAATTATGGTGTTGGTGAAGAATATTGAATATTCCATGGCCTGCCAGAAGAATGAACAAACCTATCTTAGGAGAGGTACAGCCAGAATGCTCCTTAGAAGTGAGGGTGATGAGACTGTGGTACGTACTTTGGACATGTTATCAGGAGGGACCAGTCCCTGGAGAAGACCATCATGCTTGGTAAAGTAAAGGGTCAGTGAAAAAGAGGAAGACCCTCAACGAGATGGACTGACACAGTGGCTGCAACAATGGGCTCAAACATAGCAACAATTGTGAGGATGGCGCAGGACCAGGCAGTGTTTCATTCTGTTGTACATAGAGTCTCTATGAGTTGGAACTGACTCGATGGCACCTAACAACAACAATAGTGCCCCCTCATTGCCTGCCCTGCCTCAGTGATTACTCACAACAGCCCATTTTAGAGATGAAGAAACTGAGGCTCAAAGAGAACTCAAGTCTGTCAGACTCCAAAGCCAGTGCTCTGTCCACCACATCAAGGAGTTGTACCCATTGTCCTTCCTCACTTCTTTTCTCACCTGTCCTACCCTCTTAGGCCCTAGCTGCTTCAGTGTTTCCTCTCTGGTCTCACCATCCTCTTCCTCTCAGTAGCCGGCTTCTGCTCTCTGCTCCTTGTTGTGTTTGGCCAAGCTCCTCTCATAGAGGAATCCTGTGGAGGCTTGCCCAGGCTGCCACAGCTCCCTGCCTTGGTCATGGCCTGCCTTAGGCAGACTTGTTTGTTTGTTTTTTATCAGTCAGATATACCTGTGTTTCTTTCCTGGCTTTCATTTACTGGCTGTGTGAACTTAGGCAAGGAAATTCACCTCTCTGAGCCTCAATTCCCTCAACTGTGAAATGAGAGTAATAGAGGGCAGTGGTAGTTCAGTGGCAGAATTCTCACCTTCCATGCGGGAGACCCAGGTTCAATTCTTGGCCAGTGCTCAAGCACAGCCACCACCCATCTGTCAGTGGAGGCTTGCATGTTGCTTTGATGCTAAACAGGTTTCAGCAGAGCTTGCAGACTAAGATGGACTAGGAAGAAAGGCCTGGCAATCATCTGGAGCCAGTGAAAACCCTATGATCACAACAGTATGATTCCTTGTGCATGAGGCCGCCATGAATTGGAGACTGAGTTGACAACAGTTAATGGTGCCTTCTTTGGCTTGTTGTGAGAAGTTAAGAGTTGTTGCTTACGGAGGATACAATAAGTGGCCAGGGCCCCAGTGAGGCTCATATTTTAGTCAGTAGATTGGTATGTTCAATAGACATGTAAATGAATTATGATCTAAAAGCATGGAAAAGTACAATAATAGGCTGGGTGAAAAAACAGGAAACAGAATTATGTTAGTAAATTGGTGCTAACGATGGGCTGACCTGTGGGCAAGGCCTAATGTGGAGACAGAAAAATAAGGACTATATGAAGTGGTTCGTATGATGGGGCATTAACAAAAAATTCAATATTGTGGCTTGAAACCAACTCAGTCAACACCTGCTTGGCCACTTGTGTTTGGCTACCATTCTGCGGCATCTCACTGCAAGCTGGACACATCAATCTCTCTTTACAGAGGAAGAAACTGAGACTCAGACTCAGAAAGGTGAAATGTCTTGCCCAAGACTGGAAGAGAAAGACAAGATTTGAACCAAGTTGATGGGACTCCAGAGACCCTGAATGTTGTAAGAGATTCTGTTGTAAGCTTCTGTCACACTTCTTCCTCACACTCCACCAGTCTCTCAGCCTGCTGGTGAACTGTCTCTTATACTCATAGCCTCAAGCCCATAAAAAAGAAACAACAGTAGCTTGTCTCTGGTCTCCCTCCCAGGTGCAACTAACTGTTGCAGGTCATTCTGATGAACTGATGGCAGATTTGCCTTGGGCATGGCAGGGCCCTGGACACAATGAACTGGCTGCCAGCCTGGCCAGGGGTGCAAGTTGCCTGCCTGAACAAGGGGATACCTGTTATATATATATATATACATATATATACACACACACACAGACATATATATATATATATCGTACACCCCTAACCCATCCAACTCTGCCTACTTAGTCTCCTCTTGCGTGGCTTGCAATGAGTACTTCAGACTTAACAAGAGCACCTGGCAAATGGAGCTCCAGGTATCTCCTCTCAGACCTGTTTGTCCCACAGTGTTCTCCTTCTTACTAAATGGCCGTCTGTCAACCTAGTCATTTAAGCCAAAGCCTGAGAGTCTTTAGGATCAAACAGTGATTCTTGATTCCTCCCTCTTCCTCACTCCCCACGTCTAATCAGTCAGTAATTTAAGATCTGTTTTGTCTGTTTTTCTCTGTTGCCTTAGACCAAATCAAGTCACTATCATCTCTCACTTGGACGTCTGCAGTAGCTTTCTAAAAGAAGTCTGCCCACTTCCACTGTTAGGGACCTTTGTAATCCATTTCATTTCCTTTACAATGGGCAGAACAATTTTATTTTTTGCCACCATTATTGCTCTCCTTTTCTAAAATATTCCACCATTAATGTAAACTCAGTGCCCCTCAAACAAAAATTTCCCCTATCCTCTTCCCTCCCACCCCTTGTCACTACTAACAATCTTTGGTTTCCATATATTTGCTTATTTCATGTAAGTGAAATCATACAGTATCTGTCCTTTTGCAGCTGACTTCTTTTACTCAGTATGTTTTCAAGGTTCATCCATGTTGTGACCAGGGCTTCCAGCCTGTTTGAAGCAGTTCAGTCATGGCCTATGGAAACAAGGACAGTGTAAGCGTTCACCTAGCAACCAAGTCTCTTGCGCCTGGCTTTTGACCAGAGTAGGGAGTAGGAAATAGGCAGTGGTGCCCCGCTTAAAGATGGTGCCTGACCACACTTCTTTGAATATGTGTTGCTCTCCACAGTCCTGCTAATAATCCAGTCTCCTGCATCAGGCTCCTGAAAGTTTCCTGATGCAGGAGATTGGATTATTGGCAGGACTGTGGATAGCAACACACATTCAAAGTGATGCGGGGTACCAGTGCCTATCTCCTACTTGGGTCAAAAGCCATTGCACAAGAGATTTGGTTGCTATGCAATGCATAGACTGCCCTTGTTTCAGTTGGCCATGGCTGAGCCACTCAAACCAGTTTGAAGCCCCTGGTTGTGGCATGCATTAGAATTTCATTTCTCTTTATGGCTGCGTAATATTCCATTGTATGTATGTATATGCCACGTTTTGTTTATCCATTCATCTGTTGATGGACATTTCGGTTGGTTCCATCTTTTGCCTATTGTGAAAAGTGTTGCAATGAACATTGGTGTACAGGTTGCTGTTTGTGTTCCTGCTTTCATGTCTTCTGGGTATATACCTAGGATTCGGATTCCTGGGTCATATATTTCTGCGTTCAACGTTTTGAGGAACTGCTGCCAAACTGTTTTCCACAGTGGCTGTGCCATTTTACATTCCCACCAACAGTGGATGAGGGTTCCAGTTTCTCCACAACCTCACCAACACCTGTTGTTTTCCATTTCTTTGATCATTGCCATTCTAATGGGGGTGAGGTGATATTTCATTGTGGTTTTGATTTGCATTTCCCAAATGGCTAATGATGCTGAATATCTTTTCATGTGCTCATTGGCTATTTGAATGTCCTCTTTGGTGAACCATCTGTTTAAGTCCTTTGCCCATTTTTTTATTGGAATTTTTTGTCTTTTTGTTAAGTCATAGAAATTTTATATATATATATGGGATATTAGGCCTTTATCCAATATATATGGTTTCCTGAAAATATTCTACCAATCTGTAGGTTATCTTTTCACTTTATTGACAGAAATAAAGCCAAATCCATTGCCATTGAATTGATTCTGACTCCTAGTGACCCTACAGGACAGAGTAGAACTGCCCCATAGGGTTTCCAAGGAGTAGCTGGTGGATTAGAACTATTGACCTTTTGGTTAGTAGGCGAGCTCGTAACCACTGTACTACCAGGGCAGCCAAGAAAATCCTATGGAGCAGTTCTACTCTGTAACGTGGGATCGCCAGGAGTCAGAATCAACTCCATGGCAAAGCGTTTGGTTTTGGTTTGGTTTACTGTGCTAAATGTTAAGTGAGTGGACTATCTCATTTTGACAGAACACTCTTTTAAAAATGCAAATCTGATGAAGATATTCTCCTACTTAAACTTTCCAGGGGTTGCCCTCCAAGGCCTTGCATGATCTGGCCCTTGCCTACCTTTGACTACTTAGCCGATTATTCTCCAGCTTCAGCCTCACTGGCCTCTCCAGGTTCCTAAACACACTGCATCGTTTACTGGAACACTTTTTCTCTCTTCCACAGCTTAGCTTAAATGTCACTGCATGACCACTCCCCTACCCTACCTCCATGTTATTCTCTTATCATGTAACCTTGCTTATCGTTCATGTAGCACCACCTGTAATTTTTTTTTTTTTCCCCACTAGAGGGTAAGCTCCATGAGACTAGGGAAGGGGTTACTCTCCTTGTTACTTGCTATACCACCTGGCTCAGAGCTAAGCTGTGGATAATAGGCACTCAATAAATATTTGTGGAATGAATGAATAAATGCTACCATTTATTGAGTACTTACTGTGTGCTTGGGACTGCAATGTCCTTTACAAACAATATTTCATTCAGTCTTGACAACAGTCCTGAAAAGTAGCCTTTGCACCCCCTTTTACATTGAAGAGACAGAGGTGAAGGCTGCTGACCAACCATGGTCACAAGAGCATGGGCAAACAAGTGGGAGCTCCCTCTAATCCCAAAGAATGTGCATTTTTAGTGTGGGAAAGGGAGTCTCAAAGAGGCCTTTGGAGGGAGGGGGGGAGTCCCATCCCTGAGAGAATGAAAATTGGGTGCAGCTCAGAACTGACACTTCATCAGAGTTACTACTGGGCCAGTCACAACCTGTACAAGTTCAACCTGCAGAGGTTCCACCTACCCAGGCTCAGCAGGATTCCAGGCCCTTGGCCACATCCTCATATTCGGTATTTTGTCCTCCTCCCCCAGGATAGTAGGCAGAAAAGGAAGAGTGCCTAGAAATGCTGGGACTACTGGCCTTGTGTTTGCATACCATGAAGTGGGAAGCTGGAGAGGCTGAGGCCCCAGGACCTATTAGAAGGAAGGAATGTGAAATGGGTGGGATAGCTGGCTGGTCCCACAGCTGAGCCTGAGGGCTTTTGGGGTTCTTGTTCCGTTTGTAGCCTTGGGCAGAGTCTCTGTCCTTCTTTGGCCCTCAGTTGCCTCATCTCTAAAATGGGAAGAGGTGGGTTACATTAGATCATTGGTTCCCAAATAGGCTATGCCTGAGAATTACCTGGGGTAGGGCCTAGTCATTATAATAACCCAGTAAGATTGATTTATTGACCAAATACTATGTAAGTACTTTTATACTATTAGCTGATTTAATCTGCACATTCTCGCAACACCCTACACATTTAGCCCTACACTTCACAAAGGTGTAGGTACTACAATAAAGCCTGCAAAAGCTAGAACCCGTGTAAGGCGGAAACTTGTCAGAGACGGAAGACTCAAATATTTTCCACTAAAACAAGCGATAGAAACGTGGTAAGACTGCATCCCGTCAAAGGCGGAAAACTTGCAAGACCTGGAAAAACAAGGCAGTCCCGTCGAATTCTGGCTCTCACAGGTTTCACTATGTTATTACCTGCTTTTTACTGGTGAAAAGAGTGAATCTCAAAGAGATTAAATAACTGCCCAAGGTCAAACAGCTAGAAAGTAGCTGCACTTTGTTTTCGGTGGTGACCTTATGTATAACAGAATGAGAGACATTGCCTGGTCCTGTGCCATCTTCATGAACATTGGCATGTTTGAGCCCATTGTTGCAGCTGTTGTGTCCCTCCAGCCTGAGGGGCTCATTTTCCAGAACTATGTCGGACAGTATTCTGTTGTGATCCATATGGTTTTCATTGACTAATTTTCAGAAGTAGATTGCCAGGCCTTTCTTTGTAGTCTGTCTGAGTCTGGAAGCTCCACTGAAACCTGTCCACCACGGGTGACCCTGCTGGTATTTGAAATTCCGGTGGCATAGCTTCCAGCATCATAGCAACACACAAGCCAGCACAATATGACAAACTGACAGACTTTAGTAATCACCTAATGCTATAGCACCTCTGTATCTGGATTGCTGCGAAGTACCCCCACCCCCAAGGATCCATTCCAGAGTGTTCATAGTCCAGGGTTTGGAAACCCCAGGATTAGACAACTATGTCTTTTATGTCCTCAAAGACCAGAGCTTAACAATGATTTATTTCCAGAGTTGCGATCGGGATTGGAGGGAGGCTTTAGATACAATTTGGGCTGGACTGGAATCTGGGCAGCTGGGGAGATTGTCCCTGTTCCCAGAAGCCGTGGGAAGACCTGGAGGAGGCAGCAGCAGCAGCCAGTTGGGGTGGGGCTTAGGACTGAGGTTTTCAGCTGCCCTGGATCTTCCTTCTTTCTTATCACCCATAGGTGATTTCTCCCTCTTTTTTAATACTTGGTGTTTGTATGTAAGCGTGGCTGTGTGTGTCCTTTTTAACCTCTTGTTGGACTGTTTAGGAAAGCCAAAGCTAGGCTTCTCCCAGGAGTGACACTTCTGGATCAAATGGCAGGAATGGTCTGGTTTGATTTTATTTAGTGAAAGTAGCTATTTTTTGGTCGGATTATAACAGTACTGGTTATTACTGGTTATCTTGGGGTTGGGGAGCGTTATAAGGGCACTTCATTTAATGTCACTCTTCAATGTTTACCTTTTTTTACAATCAAGTAAGAAAAATAAATGCAACATTTCTTATTAAACATCTTAGATAATATAGGAAAGTACAAAGAAAAAACTAAAAGTTGTCCATAATCCAGTTTGCCAGCAGTTACCATTTATTAATATTGAATGTATTTCCTTCCATTTTTCTATGCATATTTTTACATATGTGTATATATGTTTTTTCTTTTTTTCCAAAAATGGGAAGACAGACTGTTTTTCAATCTGCTTGTTCTACTTGGCAATTGTAAAGATCTAGTGAAGATATTCCTATTTGATAAATACATCTCTAAAAGCATCACTTTTAATGGCGTCATGGTATTCTATCATGAATATACCAGATATTGCCCCGCCAACCCTTACTTTTGAGCATGGGTTGCTCCATTTTTTGTTGCTTTGTTTTGTTTTTAATGTTGTGAAGAATGCAGTAGAGAATATTTGTTGAAGCTAAGTCTTTGGGTGCATCCATTATTCTGTTCTTGGGATAAATTCCAAGAAGTGGAATTGTTGGGCAGTTCCTTTCACCTTTTTGGGGGCTTCTGATACATACTGCCTAATTGGAGCAGGAGAAATTTTGCCTTTTCTGACATGAAGTATATGGCTCGGTTTTTCAGGAGAGGAACATGCCACCCAAGCGCATAGCTAAGAGAAGATCACCCCCAGAAGATGCCACCCCCAAAAGCAAGAAAGTGAAGGGTAAGATGACCTTGGCCTATGACTGGGGCAGCTGTCCAGGAATCTGGGTGCAGGTGGCCTCCTGGAGCTCCAGGATCTGGGACAGGGCTGCTTCCTGTCTAATATTGGAAGCCGAGGGGCCTGGATGTCCAGGGACCCCACTCAACTGGACGGCCCTCTATAGCTCATTGAATCCTACCCTCTGGGAATCATAAGGAGAAAAGACTTGCCTAATAGAACCCAGGAAGTACTGGAAAAACTAGATCCCAGGGCTTTGGCCCAGGCAGTAGTGCATACTGGTTAGGACCATTCATTTCCAGGCCTGGGTTCTAATTGTGGCTCTGCCACTTTCTGGCTGTGTGACTTTGGGCAAGACACTTAACCTCACTGAGCTTGGATTACCCCCTTCATAAAATAAAGGGATAACAGCACCAACCTCATCGGGCAGTTGTGAGGATTAAATGAGATAATGTCCTGGCAACATTTGGGAGGTGGCTGTGGTTTCCTTTCTCCTGGGACTCTGGCGGCGGGTGGGGAGGAAAGAAATCTGCTCCCAACCTGGGAAGTAGGGGAGTGTGGGCCCGCTGCATACTCAGACAGTATCTGTCTTTTGCAGACCCTCGTAACCAGGCAGTGAGGGCCGCCGCCCCCCACCGTGTTGCCGGCGCCCGCTCCTGCCAAGGTGCCTACGGGCCCAGCCCTCCTGACCAGAAAACCCGACCAGGTGGCTCCCTGCCCAGCGTAGCCTCTGCGCAGCCGTGGCCACACCCCCGGGGCGGAGGGCTGGACGCCAATGGCTGTCCGGGGCCTTGGGCGGGCAACTTCCATTGGCCAGCAGAGGGCCCAGTGCCGCCCATGACTGGCCCGTATCTCTCTTCGCAAACGCCTCTGTCGTCACTTTTTCCTGCCCCTTTCTCCAGCTTCATGTCTGCTCCCGGGATAGGGACATAAGGGGTTAGTCAGTTCTGTGAATATGCCCAGGAGTTGAAAATCACAGCCTGGTGGGTGGGAGGGATCAGATGGAGGTTGGGGACTTTGCTCTGACCCACGTAATCTCCCTTGGTTTCGGTGCAAGCTCTACTACTAATTAGCTGTATGGTCCTGGGAAGGTCACTTAACCCCTCTAAGGCTCTGTCCCCGTTACTATTAAACAGGATCCTAAATATGGAAGGTCTGCAGCATAATTTGGAGAAGTAGCACGGTGGTTAAGAGATCAGCTGCTAACCAAAAGGTGGGCAGTTCGAATCCACCAGCCACTCCTTGGAAGCCCTCTGGGGGCAGTTCTGCTCTGTCCTGCAGGGTCGCTGTGAGTCGGAATCGACTCGATGGCAATGGGGTTTTCAACAGGTAGCATAATTTGGGGGACTCCAGAGCAATTTAACATTAGTGGAGTAAGCAGTCAGTAAAGGGTAGACATTATTATCTGAGCCCTGACTGTAGGCACCATGGCTCCTGACCAAAAACATAGTTAATCAGGAAGTCTATCTTGTGCCTTCCCTGTTCTTTTCCCTTCCCCACCAAGACTCATTTCACAATATTATGTCTCCTTGTTTCCATCTCTTCCCTATCATGTTAATAATGTGCTCAGTTATTAATCTCCATAAAAACCATATGAGATAAGTACTCTTTTCTCCTAGTACCTATGAAACAGGATCAAAAAGGTCATAGTAGGGGCTTGAACCCAGGTCTCTATGATCCTAAAGCCCATGCAGTCACCTCTTTCTCCTGTCATCCCTCACACTCAGGGCTATCTTTTCTACCCCTCAGTCTCTCATAGGTCCCACAGCACAGAACCAGGCATGGTACTGACACTGGGCCAGGGTGATGTGGGCCAGCTGGGGCTGGGTGAGAATGTGATGGAAAGGAAGAAGCCAGCCCTAGTGCCCATTCCAGAGGATGTTGTTCAGGCTGAGGCCGGGGGCATGCACACAGTGTGTCTAAGCAAGACTGGCCAGGTAGGTTGGGAGTGGTGGGGCAGGGGTGGACAGGGCTTGGGGTGGGGATGCGTGGTGCCAGAGCTTTGAGCCACACTCATTTCTCTGGATATGGAGCTGGCTAGCCAAGCAGGGAATGGCCTAAACAAGAAGGGACTGAGATGCCAGACCTTGTACTAATGGAGGTATCCTGGGCACAGATCTACTCCTTCGGCTGCAATGATGAAGGTGCCCTGGGAAGGGACACATCATTGGAGGGCTCAGAGACGGTCCCTGGGAAAGTAGACCTGCAGGAGAAGGTGGTACAGGTATCAGCAGGAGACAGTCACACAGCGGCTCTCACCGAGGATGGCCGTGTCTTCCTCTGGGGCTCCTTCCGGGTAAGGCTAGTCTGGAAGACTGCATGGGTCCTGTGGGCAGAATTAATCAGTGGGACCCCAAATATAATCTACCTCCATGCCCCCATGGTACTTACTGGTGGGGAAATCAAGGCTCATATCTCTGGCTTTTTCACCTAGTTCTGTCCACACCATCTGGCTGCTTCCTTGACTCTGATGTCATGAAGCAGGCAGGTTAGGAAAGGGGTGGGTCAAGGATACCTTTGGGCTGAGGCTGATCCAGTAAGCCTGCTCCCTTCACCCATCTCTCTGCCTCCAGCCTCCCCCTCCCCTTTCCAGCCCTCTTCCCTCAAAAGAGGTTTGGGTAGTTGGGGGTATTGTCACATCCCAGAGTTTACAAGGCAGAAGAGTATATGTAAAAAGCAGATTTAGCATTAAAAATGCTTTGGTACTTTGGCATTTATTTCAAAATGTCAAAAATAAAGAAATCTAATGAGGTTTTTCTATTTTACAAAAAAGGGGGCTATTTAAAAAAAAAATTTTATGGAGAATTTCAAGCATATATAAAAATAACCAGAATAGTATATTGAACCCTCATCTACTCACTGCACAGCCTCAACAGTTGTCAACTCGTGGCCAGACATTTCATCTCTACTCCTTTCCACTCTCTGACTCCTGTTATTTTAATGCAACTCCCAGACCACATATGACTTTATTCATAAGTATTTCAGTATGTGGCCTGGTTCCTACGCACCTCCCCGTCTCCATCCCGCAACTGCCCTTGACCAGACAGCTCTGTGGCTGCCTGCATTCCTGGATTGGGCTGGCGAGGGCAGGCAGGCTTGGCTGATAAGTGCTCTGCCCCTCCCTCCAGGACAATAATGGAGTGATTGGGCTCTTGGAGCCCATGAAGAAGAGCATGGTGCCTGTGCAACTGCAGCTGGATGTGCCCGTGGTGAAGGTGGCCTCTGGTGAGCTGGGGTACTTGGCCTGGGTAGGAGTTAAGGAACTCTGTTCTGGAGCTGGCCCATCCATGGGCCTGACAAGCCTTGCATCCCCTGCCTTCCTGTCTCCCTCAGGAAACGACCACCTGGTGATGCTGACGGTTGATGGCGACCTCTACACCTTGGGATGCGGCGAGCAAGGCCAGCTGGGCCGTGTGCCTGAATTATTTTCTAACCGTGGTGGCCGGCAGGGTCTTGGTAGGTGGCTTTGGCAGTTCTGGCAGGGCAGCTTGGCAAGCTCCCCCCACCTCCACCACCCCCAGTGGGGCCCAAGGCAGGACAGGAGAGAGATTCCCTGTGCCTGCTCAGGCCGTGACATCAGAAAGACCTGTGGTGACAGTTAAGAGCTCAGACTTTTGAACCAGTCTACCCTGGCTTTAAATACTGATTCTGCTACCTAGCAGCTGTGAAACCCTGGACATAGTCTCCTCCTCTCTAAAATGTGGGTAATATTTGTATCTACCTTATCGGGTTGTGAAGTTAGATGAGTTAATGTAGAAGAGTGGCCAGCAAGTGCTAAGTGCCATGTAAATGTTAGCTCTGTGGCTATGGGAAGGAGCCCTGGTGGGACAATGGTTAAGCACTCCGCTGCTAACCAGAAGGTTGGCGGTTCAGACTCACCAGTGGCTCCACAAGAGAAAGGCCTGGCAATATGCTCTCGTTAAAAATTGCAGCCTAGAACACCATATGGGGCAGTTCTTCTGTGTCACATGGGGTCACTGTGAGTCAAAATTGACTCAACGACACCTAATGACAATAATGGCTGTAGGAGTCTGAGCAAGACATGTGTACTGTGTTGGCCTCAGTTTTCTCTTCTGTGAAGAGGTTAAGTCTCTGGTTGGTTTCCCCCTGAGAGCTTTAGTAATAGAGAGGAAACGGGCTCAGGGAGGCAGAGGGAAAAAAGGCTATGTGGGTCTGTCTGCTACTAACCCTGGCTTCCCTTCTGCCTGCAGAACGACTGCTTGTCCCCAAGTGTGTGATGCTGAAATCCAGGGGAAGCCGGGGCTATGTGAGGTTCCAGGATGTCTTCTGTGGTGCCTACTTTACCTTTGCCATCTCCCATGAGGGCCATGTATACGGCTTTGGTCTCTCCAACTACCATCAGCTTGGTGAGTATGGAGTCCAGCATCAGGCATTGCCCAGAGCAACGTTGGTTCCAATCCTAGCTCCTCATCTCCTTCGCTGTGTACCCTTGGCGGGATTACCTTACCCCTCAGGGCCACAGGTTTGTAAAGTGAGAATTTTCATATCTGGTGAGGAGAGAGGGTGGCCTCATTTGGGGAAGGGATGAGAAGGGCAGCTCCTTGAACATCTTCATCACCGATGGCTCTATCTCGACCTTCTGCACGCCCCACCAGGAACCCCAGGCACAGAATCTTGCTTCGTACCCCAGAACCTGACATCTTTCAAGAACTCCACCAAGTCCTGGGTGGGCTTCTCTGGTGGCCAGCACCATACAGTCTGCATGGATTCAGAAGGTGGGACCTCCAGGTCTTCCCTGGGTTGAGGGTGGAGTGTTCCCTGGGCCTGAGCCTGGTTAGACTCCAGAGACCATGTCCTTGGAACCTGGCCCTGCTTGCTGGGTTGGGCCAGACATGGGTCCATGAGGCCACCTCCTTCCCCCTAGAGTCCTGGGGCTCTTTCAAGTGTGAGCTCACTGGAGGCCTATGTGAGGGCCTATGTGGAGGTTCTCCCAGGCCTACCCCAAAACTGGGAAGAGAATGAAGGCCTCCTTCTGACCACCCTGCAAGTGGGGGCCAAGCTCCCACCATCATGAGAACTTACCTGGCCACACCACCTAGTTTGCCTGGAGCATGCCTTCTGCTATGGCTCATTTCTCTCCCTCCTCCCACAGGAAAAGCGTACAGCCTAGGCCGAGCTGAGTATGGGCGGCTGGGCCTTGGGGAGGGTGCTGAGGAGAAGAGCACACCCACCCTCATCCCCAGGCTGCCTGCTGTCTCCTCAGTGGCTTGTGGGGCCTCTGTAGGGTATGCTGTGACCAAGGATGGTGAGTGGGGCTGACCACAGTCAATCTGGCCAGGGCCTTGGGGTTGTGATTCTTAACCAGACTCCCTGGCAGGCTCAGATGTCCACCATGAGATGGAGTTGAGATGAGGAGAGCAGTGTTTGGAATGTATCTTAGTTATCTAGTGCTGCTGTAACAGTGGATGGTTTAACAAAGAAAAATGTATTCTCTCACAGTCTAAGAGGCTAGAAGTCTGAATTTAGGGCACTAGCTGCAGGGAAAGGCAGTCTCTCTCTCTCTCTCTCTCTCTTTCTTTCCCCTCTGTCGGCTCTGGGGGAGAAGGTCCTTGTCATCAGTCTTCGCCTGAGTCTAGGAACTTCTCAGGGCAGAGACCCCGGGTCCAAAGGACGTGTTCTGCTCCCGGCACTTCTTTCTTGGTGGTAACGAGGTCCCTCTCCTCTCTGCTTGAGTCTCTCTTTTATATCTCAAAAGAGATTGACTCAAGATATGACCTAATCCTGTAGATTGAATCCTCTCTCATTGACATAGCAGCCTTTAATCCTGCCTCATTAACTTCATAGAGGTTAGGATCTACAACACATAGGTAATTATATCACATCACAAAATGGTGGACACAATACTGGGAATCATGGCCTAGCCAAGCTGACACACATTTTGGGGGGACACAATTCAGTTCATAACAGGATGACACTTTTTCTTCTGATTCTCAGAAGCTTTTGCTTTAACGAACATAAAACAAGAAAACAGATTATTTTAAGAAAGGTGATTTGTTCCGTAGAGGAGCAAAAGAGCAAAGGGAAGAATAGAAGCAAAGGCCCAGAGTGGCAGTGGAACTTGAACTAAGGTCTCCAGACTCCTAATCCAGGCTTCTTTATATTCTCTACCACGGTGACCCCCTAGGATGTGCCAGCTCCACAGGGAGTTGTACTCAGAATCTTACTAGGACAAAGAAGGCTCAGTAGTCAGGGTCCCGGCCAGCATAGCAGGGATGGTGTGAACAAGTGGCCACTGAAGCCTGAGTGAGTGAGCGGGACAGCTATGGAGGCCATTAGAAGTCTGGAGGGTGGAGAGTTGCTTGATCGGGGATTATCCAGAAAGGCTTCCGGAGAAGGTGGAACTTAACTGCATCTCAAAGGTTCAATCCTTTATGAGAAGCAAAGGAGGTCATCCCAGCCAGAGGACCATCCAGAGCCATCTCAAAGGTAGCTGGTCCTGAGGAATGGGAGTGGTGTAGGGGGTTGAGGAGTGGCCAGTATACAAAGTCTTTCATGCCATGCATAGGAGCAGGGAGAAGCCTTTGGCAGTGTTTAAGGACTGCAGTCTCTTGCTCATAAAGCTTTTTTTTATGTATCGTGCCCTTGGCTTCTCCCAGCTCTCCTGAACCCCTAGGGGCTGGGACCTTGCAGGCTAGTACAAGCTAAGGCCAGAATTCACCCCCGCATCCCAGACTTCTCACAGGACATACAGAAGGGTGGAGGTGGGGATCATGGAGATAGCTGTCCCCATTTCTCTCCCTTGCAGGTCGCGCTTTCGCCTGGGGCATGGGCACCAACTACCAGCTGGGCACGGGGCAGGACGAGGACGTCTGGAGCCCTGTGGAGATGACAGGCAAACAGCTGGAGAACCGTGTGGTTTTGTCTGTGTCCAGCGGGGGCCAGCACACAGTCTTATTAGTCAAGGACAAGGAACGGAGTTGATGAAGCCCCTGAGGGCCTGGCTTCTGGCCCCTCAGCCTCCCTGATGGATCAGGGAAGCAGTGACGACTACAGGTTCCAGCAGCCCTCCCCTCAACCCTGAGCACTCTGTCATCTCTTGCCTTTTTTCTCATCAGCAGAACAGAATCCCTTTATTCTTTTTTTTCCTCCTTTCGGGGGTCATCCTGGGACCTGCAAGATGAAGGGCTGGATGGAAGAGGGGAGGGGGCTTGTGTCAGAAAGAACATTGCTCACCTCAGAGCTACATGGTTAGCCCTTTTCCCCCACATCCCTACCTCTCAGGGCCCTGGCTGGTCTTGGCCTTGCCCACCAAAAAAACAAAACTTCTCCCCTAAGGGTTTGGTGCCTACACTCTGAACAGTTTGGGCTCTATCAAGCCCTGCCCTAGTCATGTGCCACTCTTCTTGTCCCTAACAGTACACAGACAGACACATGGTACAGTCTCCAGACCCAGCTGTCATGGCTCCATGCCTTGGAGAAATTGGAGAAGGGACGGGGCTAGCCAGCCATGGGCTGCACCTATCCAAATATTTGGCTCTGAACAAGTGTCCACAGGGCAAAAAAGACAATGATCTTCCACTTGACTGAGAAAAAAGCCACCTAGTCATTCTCCCAGAAGCACAAAGCATTCTCCTGCCCCTTGGCACTGCCTGCTTATCTGACCCGTCAGACCTGCCTCACCTACATCCAAAAGCCCGAAACACAGAAAGGAAACTAGGCAGGGCAGGGCATGTGGGGACAGGGGATGGAGGGTTTTTTAAACGAACTTATAGAAATAATGAGGAAGGGTGGAGGGAGGGAGGGGGAGAGGATTGGGGGGCAGGGGCTGGTCCCAAGAAAGGGAAGCGGCAGCTTGTACAGTGGCTGAGAACATAGAAAATAGTTTTGATTTTTTTTTTAATGTAAAATATTTTGGAGGAGAGAGTGAAATCTTTTAACATTTTAAATAAATTTAGAGTTTTCTAAAAACAGGCCCCTTGTTTTCTGCACACTCCCTGCTTTTTAAAGGGAGCACCTGTTGTGTGCTGGGTGCTGTTGGGAAGGGTAGAATAAACCCATGTCTGTGAACCTGGTGCCAGGGCTAGGGCTTAAGTGATGTAAGATGCCTGAGGTGCTGGCATGTGCTGGTCAGCTGCTGACATGGTTGTTCCAAAGACTCCAGATCCACACAACCAAAGTTGATTGAGTTTTGTTTGGATATTTACGTGTTGGGAATCACTGGCTTTTTTTTTTTTTAGTTATGCTGCATAGTCAAGAGAAATGGAATGGATCTTTTAGCATCCTAATTCCAAATTGAAGTTTTTTGAGTACGGTACATCTCTAGAAATGCTTACTAAGCTTGTTCTTGTGTCCTTTTCAACAGCTGATGCAATTTTTAAAACATCATTGCACAGCAACTCTTAAGACAGTTTATGTAATTTAATGTAGACTGTTTTCACAAGCTTTTGAGCAACCAAATCATAGAGCTGACCTGTCCAGTATGGTAGCCACTAGCTACATGTGACTGTTTAAATCCGTTAAAATTTTGAAAAATATAAAGTTAACTTCTTCAGTTGCACTACCCACATTTCAGGTACTCAGTAGCCGCATGTGACTACTGACTATGGCACTGGACTATGTAAATATAGAACATTTGCATCATTGCAGAAAGTTACCATGGGCAGTGCTGATTGAAGGTCTGTATGTGTGTAGTAGGAGATTTATTAAAGTACCAGGAGGGTTCTTGGATGTCAGTGACTCTTGGAAAAGTGAATGGGATGTAAAATAATTTATAATGTATTCTGTGATTTGTTTTTCTTGAAATCTTAGTTTACTAATTCGGGCACTGTACTAATTAGAAATTGGCTTCTTAAAAGGGGAAATCACACTTTCGATCTTAACTATCTTCATATTTTCTTTATAAAGAGGCACTTGTATGTCTGCTATTTCCCACCTCCCTCATCCAAAAAAAAAAAAAAAAAAGTCCATTTGGATTATATTTACTGGAGTTTTCCCTTTTGAGAAAAAGGGTCAAAAGTACCCAGAGCTCCTTAAAATAACAACTCCTGTGTATTGAGCATTTAAAACAGACCAGGCATTGTGCTGAGCACTTTATATGCATTAGTGCATTTAATCTTTACATCAACCCTGCAAAGTAGGGATTACCACTTCTGTACAAATGGGGAAACAGAATCCCTAAGAGTTGAAGGGACTTGCTTGAGGTCAAGAAGCTACTAAGTGCACAGGCTGGACCAGAATCTAAATTGGCCTCCTCCTGAGCCCAAAACCTCCATTCCTTTTCTTTGTATTGCACCTAAGAGTTTTATGAAGCTCTCTTTAGCTGTTTTCCATATATTAGAACATTGCCAGGCACATGATAGATGCTCTATAATTTGGCTATTATGATTGTACATTTTTTTATTTCCTGTAGTTCATAGTTAACCTTATTTTTCATGTGCTTAGTTTATTTACATATACATATATGTGTGTGTGTATCATTAACTCAGTGCCAGTGTCTATTATCGTAAGTGTAAAATATTTTGTATGTTCAAACATATCAAGTAATCTCTCGATTTCATCTTTCTCCATCCTCCAGTCTGGATTGGTTACCCCTCAAAATTTGTAATCACAGTATCTCATATGGCTCAGTTATAAATACTATCTACAAAGTCATAATAATGTAATTGTTCAATAGTGGTTTAACAAAAATTATGGAAAGCTGCAGAAATGTATATGTATGGGGGGCAATCGCTAAAATATCTGAAACTACAAATGAAGAAAAGTTATGTTATTTAGCAATAGATGCTAGAGGGGAAAAATTTTGAAAATAGCTGCTTCAAGGGAGTAGGAATTGGGGGCAGGGATGGATGGATGGGGTCAGAGACTGCTGCTTATTGTTTATATCATTCATTCAACAAATATTTTTTCAGTGCCCACCATATCCCAGACATTGTTGTAGGTACTTGACTAGAAAACAAAATGGACAAAGATCCCTGTCCCATGAAGCTTATGTTCTAAATTAAAAATAAATATATAAAAAAATTCCAAATGTAAAATAATTTTAAAAAATACTAAGGAAAGAGCATAGCACAGTGGCTGGCAATAAATAAATAGTAACAACGTGAAGACTTCCAACTTATGTGTTGGAGAATTTACTGGGTGCCAGGCACTGGGCCAAGTGCTTTACCAACTTCTCACATTTTTTTCCTCACAACAGTCTTTAAGAGGTAAGCACTGCTATTATCCACATTAGGCTCAGAGAAGTTAACTTGCCAAAATAATTGGCTAGAAGTGGGGCAGGGATTGACGCCCCGTTTGTTTGACTATAGCCAAAGCACCTTCCACATCCCACTCTATTTTAATTCCAGGAGAGTAGGATAAAGCTGGAAATTTGGCAACTCATAGTTGGACCTCAGTTTTCAGGCTGGTGGGTTTTGGGATTCACCCCAAGCTTAGGATGTTCAGGCAGGTAAGGAAGGACCTTAGGGGCCCATCAGCACATCAGCACTTGAAGCAGCTTCACTGTCAGATGGCAGCTGCCACCTACAGATGCTTCTTACTGTGACAAATGAGGACCAAAGTGAGGCTGAGGCCTAGAGAGTCTCAAAATTAAGGTGTTGGGATTATCTAGTCGTCCAAGCCATGTTGACTGAGGGTTTTCTATGTGAAGGTCACTGTTCTGTGACAGGTTACAGCTCCTGGCAGGTTGGGCTAGGGTGGGGGGAGCAAGGCTGGAAAAAGGTGGAAGGATTTAAAAGATATTAGGAGCCCTGGTGGTGCAGTGGTGAAGAGCTCGGCTGCTAACCAGATGGTCGGCAGTTCAAATCCACCAGGCGCTCCTTGGAAACCCTATGGGGCAGTTCTACTCTGTCGTGTAGGGGTCGCTATGAGTTGGACAACAACGACAACTCGACAACAACCTTTTTTTTTTTAGGAGGTACGGTGACAGGACTTGGGGATTGGTTGTTGAGATGACAAGGTTGTCCCAACCCAGCTTCAACAAATCTCCAGTCTAGCAGAGTGGGAAAATAAGGTGTGTTGGGGGCGGTGGTGGGGAGATGGCTAGGGCCAAGCGATGGCTTGTCCAAGGTCACACAGGTTAGCTATCAAAAGGTGAAAGGGAGGGGCTTTCGCTTTTTTTTCAGTGTGCTTATATTTGCAATTTCTTACAATGAGCACATATTATTTTTGTAATTTTGTGTGTATATATATATTTGTGTGTGTTTTAAATACACTTGTGTATATAAAGGCAGAAAGAGACCGAGTAAGGCCTGAGAAGTTCAGCCTGGCGGCCTGCGCCAAGGTGGTCTCTGCACCGCTCCCTTCCGGGGACTCCAGTCCGGGATTCGCTCGCCGGTAGCCGGACACTCCAAAACCTGCAGGCTCACTGGAAAAACCCGGAGACCGGAGCGGAACATGCAGCCCCGCCCCCGGACGCTGGCTTTCGGAGCGTGCGCAGAAGGCATAGCAGGCGCATGCTCCGTGGCGGTCGGGGAGCAAGGACTGGCTCCGGCAGCGGCCTTCGCGGCCCGCGAAGTCCCGGCCCCGGTGCGGGCATGGCGGCCAGCCTGTGGATGGGGGATGTAAGTGAGAGCGGCTGCCCCGGGTTCGAGGGGGCGGAATCTCGGGGTCGCGAGAGACAAAGGCTCTGAGGGGGAGGAGTCCTCATATCCAAAAAGGGTGGAAGTGAATGGAGGGGAGGGGGTTCCTTTTGGTGACAGAGAAGCGGGTCCCAGCATTTAAGGGAAGGAGCTGAGCCTGAGGGGGAGGAGTCCTGGGGCCCGACCTGCGTTCATGGAAGGGAAAGGCAAGTTTTGGGGGGATAGAATGGGAGGAATCTCAAGGATTGAGGAGCGCTGTGGTTCTAGGACTGGAGGGATAGGGTTCCCTAGGTCTAAGGGGGAGGCTCCCTAAATGGGAGCAAGCTTGAAGGGAAGGAGTTGGAGACCCGCGAGGTGGGGTTTGTGGGGTTCAGCCACTCTGCCGATGAAAGCTTCTCCACCCTCTAGCAGCGTATAGCCAAGTCAGGGCTGACGGGTAGGGGAGTCGGGAATGGGGAGCCTGGATGTTGACCTGAGCCGCCCTGCTCTTGTTTTCCCGCAGCTGGAGCCCTACATGGATGAGAACTTCATATCCAGAGCCTTCGCCACTATGGGGGAGACTGTCGTGAGCGTCAAAATTATCCGAAACCGCCTCACTGGGTACGTTCTTTCATTCCACCTTCCCGGTTCCCCTTAAAGATCGTGTTGCAGGTATCACTCAGGAAAATGTAAACATTGTAGTGTCAGGGCTTCTTACCACACCTAATAATAGTTATTGTAATTTTATAAAAATTAACATTTTGAAGGCGTATTGAGAGGAAGTATAGCCTATTGCTTAAGGACAAGGCTAGAGCCAAGCAGAATTTGAAAGTTACTTCTACTGTGTGACCTTGGGCAAGTTACTTAACCTCTCTGTCTCATTCACCTTGACTGTAAAAATGAGGTGCAGTATAACCTCAGGGGGTTCCTGGGTGGCATGGTTAAACTAGTAGCTGAAAGGTTGACGATTCAAATCCACCCATAGGTACCTTGGAAGAAAGCAGTGGCATCACTAGAGGGGTCTGGGGGGTGCAAACTGCACCGAGTGACACTAGCAGAGGGGGAGACACCAAAATGACTCTCTATAAAATTTTTGTGCAGTGTTTCAGCAGGAAGTTATTGTTTTTTATAAAAATATCTCTGTCTTTAGTTATAACAACAAACATTTTTCATAAGGCCAGCTTACAAGTATCAATATACCTACAAGGCTTAAACTCTATGCTAATATTTTTTCAACGTTCTAATGCACTCTGGTCAGAGGCATCATTATTACCCAATTACAGTGACACTTGAATCAGTGGTTTTGTCTGCACGCACTACAAGCATGCGCTATTGTTTTCATTGCTGCCAGTGATTTTCCTAGTCAGATTTTGTCAAATTTTTTAGTGTTTTAGCTACAATATTGTGATAATTAGCTTGAGGGGGTGACACCATAAGTTACCACAGTGAGTGACACCAGCCCTAGTGACACCACTAGAAGAAAGTCCTGGCAATCTACTTCTGAAAGATCATAGCCATTGAAAGCCATGTGGAGTGCAGTTCTACTCTAAAACACACGGGGTCTCCATGAGTCAAAATCAACTCCAGGGCAACTGATTTTTTTTTTTTAAATCTCACAGAGTTATGGTGAGGATTAAATAGATTAATTCACATTCAGCTTTTACAACTGTGCCTGGCATATTGCTAGGTAATAAGAACTTTACATTGTTTTTTTTATATCATCACAAAAACCTCTGTGCTAAATATTATTATTAGAGTTTAGTAGTACTAGTATTAGAGAATAATAATGTCTTAAAAGTTACATAGCTGTTAAGTGACAAGCTAGAACTCGAACCCATGTCTGTCCTCAAAGTTCATAAGTGCCCTTAACTATTATACCATTATGCCATTCATTAAAAAAAAAGAGAGACTATTACCTGCTAAGGAGTCCTGGTGCTGTAGTGGTTAAGCACTTGGCTGCTAACTGAAAGGTTAGTGATTCAAACCCACCAGTAGCTCTGGCTCTGTGGGAGAAAAGACCTGTCAGTTGTCTGCTCCTGTAAAGATTACTACCAGGAAAACCCTATGAGGCCGTTCTACTCTGTCCTGTAGGTTGCTATTAGTGAATCCTCGACAGCACACGACAACTATCCTCATGACTGAAACAAGTCAGACATAGTCCTGGCTCTCATGGAGCTTACTACATTCTGGTCGGGGAGTCAGACAGTACATAAGTAAACAAAACAAAATGCAGGATATTTTTAGATGGTGGTACTCTTTTGCCTCCCAGATTCTTCTTTCTCTTTGGAATCTTAGTTTTCCTTAGGGTTCTGGTTAGAAATAAGAGAATTCCTTTACCAATTTGACTTATATATTTATTGAGTATCTACTCTGTGCCAGGTACTCTACTAAATGCTGCTTGCTAAAATATCAAATGGTTTAAAAATAGAGATAAGAGATGTGATGTGTGGCCAACTCCATGGCTCTTTGGTGAACAGGCACTTTGTGCATCAAAACCACATTACATAGGGATAAATTTTCTGCCTGATCGATCAGGCAGGCCTAAATGTTTCTCCTCCTGCTTTTGTAGACAGAAGACCCCACATAATCAGCTATTGGCATGAAAATTCTTTCAGTAACACTTTCTGCTTTTAAAAACATTGGCATAGGTTCTCACATTTTAATCGTTATTGAAATGAGATTTGGAACTATTGTTTCCAACCCATGATGACTAAACTCTACTGTTATTTATGGCAGTACCTACAGACACATGGTATTTACATCTTACCTCATTTTACAAAGGCTTTGAAGTGGCTTACAAGAATACTATGGAATAACCCATAAAAACCAAATCGTTGCCGTCAAGTCGATTCCAACTCATAGTGACCCTAGAGGACAGAGTAGAACTGCGCCATAAAGGCTTCCAAGGAGCAGCTGGTGGATTCGAACTACTGACCTTTTGGTTAGCAGCCAAGCTCTTAACCACTGCGCACCAGGGCTCCACTACAAAATAAATATAAATAAAAATCAAGACCATGGAAAATAAGGGAAGAGATAAGACGCAAGAAAAATAACATGTGGTACCAGCATAATGCTCAAGAATGCAGTCAGATGTGGAGAAGCCAGACTTTTCATTCACCACTGGAGGAAAGGGTCTGGTGGTTTCTTATGAAACCTAACAGAAACCTATACTGTGACGCAGAAAGTCCAGTCCTAGGTATTTACCCAAGAGAAATGAAAACAATGCAAAAAGACTTGAATGTTCATAGCAATTTTATTCCCAGTAGCCAAAAGCTGGAAACAGTCCAGGTATCCATCAGTATGTGAATGGATAAACTAAGTGGTATATTCATACAATGGAATACTACCCAGCTATGAAAAGGAACAAACTACTGATACACCAGCAACGTGAATGAATCTCAAAAACATTAGACTGAGTGAAAGAAGCCTTAATATATGATTCCATTTAATTGAAACTAGGTAAAACTAATCTGTGGTGGAAATAACTCAGAATGGTAGTTGCCTGTAGAAGGATGTGGGCAGGGATTTATTGTCAAGGAGCATGAGGGTACTTTCTAGGGCAGTGGTAATGTTCTGTATGTTAATAGGGGTTTAGGCTGCACAGGTCTATTGCAACTCTGCATGGTACACATAAGATTTGTCCATTTTATTGCACTTAAATTTTGCTTCAAAAGGTAAACTTTTTCTTCATCGTAAACAAATATTAAATGCATGCCAAAATAATTCAGGGAAGTGTACTGATATCTACAACTTACTTTACTTTGAAATCTATCCAAAACAAAAAAAGGATGATAGATGGATAGTTATGCCATAAGTATAGTAGAATGTTAATCGTAAGCGGTGGGTATATGAATATTTACTGTACAATTCTTTCATGTTTTCTTTAAGTGTGAAATTTTTCATGATAAAATGTTGGCAGGGAGGAAGAATGTAGTCAGACTATCCTGGATTCAGATCCAACCTTTGGCATATACCAGCTGTGTGATTTGAGGCATATTGCATAATCCTTCTAAGCTTCAATCTGCTCATATATAAAATTGAAGTAATAATTGTATTTACCTCATAGTTATTGTGAGGATGGTGCACGTGAAGTTGCTAGCTAAGTGCCTGGTCCATAGTGAGTGCTTGGAAATGATCAGCACTTATGGCAGTGACCTTCACATCGTGGGCTTTAAGCATCTAGCACACACAGGAGAGAAGGCACAGATCTGACCCATCATCCTTCTTTCCATCAACAAAACCTTACGGAGCTCATAGACTCTGTTTTGTGATTCCTGGGCTGAGGTACTCCTCCTTCCCAGCCACTTTTGGCTGTGTGTCCATCAGGCTACTTGAACTGAAGATCTAAAGTAGTATTTCCAAATACTACCTTATCGGTGGTCTTAAGGGTAAACTGACTGTTTTCAGTATACGTCTAATAGTAGGAAGGGATGCCATAGGGTGTAGCCCCTGCCTCCTACTTACATGTCCTAGTGATGCTTTCAAAAATAGAATGCTAGGAGAAAGGTGGGGTGCAGAACTCAAATTCTAGTAAGAAGACCAGACTTAATGGTCTGACTGAGACTGGAGGAACCCCGGAAAACATGGTCCCTGGATTCTCTGTCAGCCCAGAAATAAAACAGTTTCTGAGGCCAGCTCTTCAGACAGGGATTGGACTGGACTGTGGGACATAAAGTGATACTCGTGAGGAGTGTGTCTCTTAGCTCAAGTAGTTTACAAGAGACTAAACGGGCAGCCTCTGTCTGGAGGTGAGATGGGAAGGCAGAGAGGCTTGGGAGCTGGTTGAATGTACATGGGGAGTCAAGGGTGGAAAAGAGGAGTGTGCTGTTGCAGTATGGGGAGAACAATTAGGGTCAATAACAATGTATGTATAAATTTTTGTATGGGAGACTAACTTGAAATGTAAACTTTATTTAAACTACAACAATTAAAAAAAATTAAAAAAAGAAAAAATAGAATGCTAGACTATTCACAACAGCCAAAAGATAGAAACAGCCTAAATGCTCATCAGTGGATGAATGGATAAACAAAATGTGGTACATACATACAATGAAATACTCCTCAGCCAGTAGGAGAAATGAAGTTTTGGTACATGCTGCAGTATGAATGGAGCTTGAAGACATTATGCTGAGTGAAATCAATCAATCACAAAGGGACAAATATTTTATGATCCGACTTATATAAAAAGACTTTTTTTTTTTAAATGTAAAAAGACCAAAGTTTATTGGTGGTTACCAGGGGCGGGAGGGATGGGAAAAGGGAGGATTTATTGCTTATGGAGTACTGAGTTTTGTTTTATGGTGATGGAAAAATTGCACTGATTAATGATAGAGTTGCACAGGTGATTATTTTAATTGCTCTCAATAAGCTGTATACCTGTAAAAAGTTAAATTGGTAAAAGTTGTGTGATAGACCAGAAATAAACAATCTTTGATGGTTATGAGGGAGGGAGGGGTGAGAGGGAAAAACACCAAATAGACAATAGATAAGTGATAACTTTGGTGGAGGGTAAGACAGTACCCAGTACTGGCGAAACCAGCACAACTTGACCAAGGCAAGGCCATGGAAGCTCCGTAGGCACATCCCAGCTCCCTGAGGGACCAAGTCACTGGGTTGAGGGCTCTGGTAACCATGGTCATGGGGAACATCTAACTCAATTGGTGTAACATATCTTTTAAAGAAAATGTTCCACATTCTACTTTGGTGAGTAGCATCTGAGATCTTAAAAGCTTGTGAGCAGCCATCTAAGATACTCCACTGGTCTAACCCCATCTGGATCAAGAGAGGATGAAGAAAACAAAAGACACAGCAGAAAGATTAGTACAAAGGACTAATGGACCACAACTACCACAGCCTCCACCAGACTGAGTCCAGCACAACTAGATGGTGCCCGGCTGCCACCACTGACTGCTCTGACAGGAATCACAATAGAGAGTCCCGGATAGAGCTGGATAAAAATGTAGAACAAAATTCTAACTCACAAAAAAAAGACCAGACTTGCTGGTCTGACAGAGACTGGAAAAACCCCGAGAGTATGGCCTCTGGACACCCTTATAGCTCAGTACTGAAGTCACTCCTGAGGTTCACACTTCAGCCAAAGATGAGACAGTCCCATAAAACAAAACCAGACTAATTGAGCACTCCAGCCCAGGGGCAAGGACGAGAAGTCAGGAAGAGATAGGAAAGCTGGTAATGAGGAACCCAAAGTCGAGAAGGGGAGAGTGTTGACATGTCGTGGGTTTGGCAACCAATGTCACAAAACAATATGTGTATTAACTGTTTAATGAGAAATTAGTTTGCTCTGTAAACCTTCATCTAAAGTACAATAAATTAAAAAAAGTTGTGTGATAGGTATATTTACAACAGTGACTGAAAAAAAGAGTAGCTGCTGAGGCTACTTACGTACAACCAAATATCTCATTGGATATAGTTCCTTGGCTTGGAGGTTTAGGGTCACGGTTTCATGGGACATCCCATTATTGGCCTAATAACGTGTTTAGCGCTTCTGTTCTACTTCCTAGTTTGTTGTTTAGTTCCTGGGGTCTTAAAAGCTTGCAGGTGGCCGGCCTTCCAAGGCACAGTTGGTCCCTATTCGCCTGGAGCAACAGAGGCAGAAGGAGAGTCAGGAATAGGAGAAAAAGGAATGTGTGGCTAATTACCTCTATGAATAACTGCCTCCTCTGCTATGAGACCAGAAAAACTGAAGGTGCCCAGTACCATTACTGAACATTTTGATCAGAGATTCTATAGAAGAATCCTGACCAAAAGGGGGAAAATGCAGAAAAGAATTTCAAATTATCATGGAATCCAGATTTTCTGCAGCCATGGAAGCTGGGTGAACCCCTCAAACTATTGTCAAGATAATCTTTAACCCTTAAACCAAAAATATCCCCTGAAGTCTTCTTAAAACCAAACAATAGTTTTGTTTACCTAGTAAAGAATATCTGCCTTGAGCATTATGCTCTTTTAATAACTATATATATGGGATCAAATTGACAACAGCAACTCGAAAGATTAGATAGGAAACTTAGGGGGCACTGAATTTATGTTAATAAAGGAGGAACAACGTAGAAAAGGAGGGTGAGAATGGTTGCGCAACTCGAAGAATGAAACTGTTGATTTGGTGTATGTTTTGCTGTGTATATTCTCAACAACAACAAAATAAATAAAATTTTTAAAAAAATGCTGAGAATATTACAGACACCCCCTAATTACATAAGCTTCACAAATATACTTTGTCTACCTCATGAGGTTATGATTTTCTTGAGGAGAATAACCATGTTCTTCAGCTGTGAGTCATAGCCTGGCACGTGGTTAAAAAAAAAAACAAAACCCATTGTCGTCGTGTCAATCCCAACTCGTAGCGACCCTATAGGACAGAGTAGAACTGCCCCGTAGAGTTTCCAAGGAGCATCTGGTGGATTTAAACTACTAACCTTTTGGTTAGCAGGTGTAGCTCTTAACCACTATGCCACCAGGGCTCCATGGCACATGGTAGGTGCTCAAAAAAATTTTTTTAATCGTGAAAATTTTCAAACAAAGTTAGAAAGAATAGTGCAACGAACACTTACATACCTACCACCTAATTTTAATAATAATTTTTAGCATTTTGCCATATTTTTTCTTATCTATGTATTTGCATATTTACATATATAGATAAACATATCTTTTGGTTGGAACACATCAAAGTAAACTATAAACATGACACTTCATCACTGAATATTTCAGTGTGTATCACAAAAAATTGGACGTTCTTTTATATAACCATAATGACTTTATCACACTGAACAAAATTAACAGTAGTTCCCTAATACAATTTAATAGCCGTTCTATGTTTAAATTCTGTAATTGTCCTCCAGAATACCTTACAGTTTTTTTTTTTTTTTTTTTAATGAACTAGTATCCAGTCAGGGCTCCTGTATTACATTTAGTTCTTCTGTCTTTTTTTTTTTTTTTTTTAATTGTTGTACTTTAAGTGAAAGTT